CAAAATATAGAAAACTGTACAAATATAATATTTTGAAGACAATAAAGTGAAAGTTTAAAAACATAAAATACAATAAATAAAATTTAAAAAAATGATAAAAAGTAAAGAGAAAGGGTTTTTTGATACCTTAAGAAAGAATTAAGTTTTATTTTAAAGTTATATTTGTAATACATAGACTTATTTCACCTTTTTCCAGCTTGTTCCATGGGGTGGGGTGGAACACACTTGTTCAACTTTGTTCCAATTTCTATCTTATGTTTCACATAAAAATTCTGTCAAACATGGACTAGTGATCCTTTTTCTATTATGTCATGTTCCGTCCAACGTACCAAATGCACCCAGATGTTTACTTTCTCATTCTACTCTTAGTTATGTGATGGAGAAAATCTCTTTTACATAATTAAAAGTAAATCATCATCTATTAATTAAAATGTGTAATAGTTACATATTCCTAGAACGATGTACCTTTTCATTATGGACATTTATTTTGGGATGTATGGAACATCATTTATTTTTCATTAGACTCGGGAGATTATTTTGGAGTTGTTAGCTGGTCAAACATTTACAGGAAAAACAATGTGAAGTTTCGGTGTTCATTTTTTTTTTAGATTTTTGTCATCTAACAGCGACAATGTTAGTATAAAAAATGGGTTTTTAAGAGGTTAAAAATGTGTAACCATCGTAACAGACTTCTTTGTTGGTATACATGTGCCACATATATATATATATATATATATATATATATATATACTAGTGGTATACCCGCGCGATGTAGCGCGGGTAAATCATAATTCGAAAACATTACTTTTACTTTGAATCATGAGTTTGTGTGGTTATTTTACAAGTCAACTAATATATAAAGTTGAAGGTCAATTTTGTTTGTTAGCAAGATCGAATGAAAAGAAAATTGCACATATGTCGGGTTTCTGAAACCATCTACTCAAAGCTCATTACAAAACTTGAAATTCTTGAATGAACAAAGAAATACAATCGTTCGTAAAATAATGTTCATCCGTATATTCGAATTGTTGTTTGTTTTTCGTGATGCACTCATCCGTAAATATTTCCTGAAAAAAACGGCGCAATGGTTTTAATAGAAACATATGGTACAAAATGTGTAATAATATAATTGTTGATTATACCTTATTCATCACGTAAAACTCTTGATAGACGACGTTTGAGGTGTAGACTCCGGCACGATTGAATTTTTTAACAGGCTTCACTAACACCTTCGTATTCCCCCATGATATCCCTCTGGACAACGCCACGTAAAGTTGCCCGTGTGAGAAAACTGATTCCGGTAGATAAACACCTACATTCGGAATTGTTTGGCCTTGAGCTTTATTGATTGTCATAGAAAAGCTAAGCCGAATTAGAAACTGTTTTCTCTTCAACTTAAATGGGAACATGTTGTCTTCGGACGGACATAAGGGAATTCTCGGCAGAAATACTCTCTTTCCATCATGCTGACCAACAACTATTTCTGCATTGATGACGTTTTGTTGAAAGGCTCTGCATATTAATCTACTGCCATTACAAAATCCATTCGAGGGATCGATATTTCGTAACAATATTATTGGGCATCCAATCTTGAGACGAAGGTAATGAGGAGGCAAACCACTAACAGTTAAAGAATTTAAGAACTCCATCGAATAGATGTTGTTCTTATCATCTTCTACTTCGTCGAAGCTGTAGTATATTTTTTCATCTCCAGAAAAACTTTTCGATCAACTGATCATTAATCTCGTCGACATTCTCGTTTTTAGTTGACAATATCGCCCTCGAAATGATATAATCGGAATCAGCTCCGTTGATTTGCAGAGACGGAAAGATTGCGCCAATCAGCGCATCTTTTGACTTACCTTTATCAGCATAGGGAATGGTCATGTCATCCGGTATGCGAATAAAGCTTTCGTCCACCGCTTCTTCATCTCCATCACCGACTCTTAATAAAATTTCTGAAAACCACGGATCAGTGCGTGCTCTCATATTGAGCGTTAACCGTATCTTTTTAATCGTTGCCCAAAGAGGTGACATCCGTAAGCTAGAATCTACAATCTGTGTTCGGGTTCCACGCCTCACAACCGATAATACTTGTCTAAAATCACCCCCCAAAACCATTATCTTTCCGCCGAATGGGAGTGCCACCCCTATGATGTCTCGCATTGTTCGATCGAGCGCCTCCACCGCTTGCCTCTTTGCCATCGACACATCGTCCCAGATGATTATTTTTGCATCTCGAATCAATTTAGCAGCCCCACTTTTTTTTCTTATGTTGCACATTAAGTTATTATCAAGGTTTAGAGGAATTTTGAATCTAGAGTGAGCTGTTCTCCCTCCAGGCATATTATTGGCAGCAACACTCGACGAAGCGGTTGCGAGAGCAATAAGACCACGTGAACGGATGTTGGCAAGCAAAGCTTTGTACAAAAAAGTCTTCCCGGTTCCACTGGACCATCTATAAAGAACACTCCTGGACAATCCTCGTCTACGTGCCACATGATCTCATCATATGCGTATTTCTGGTCAGAATTCAGAGAGTCTCGGGCACGCAAGTGTTCATCTTCCACAACTATAGAGCATTCCTCTTGTACCTCATGAAATTCTCCAGATTGAAAATTTGAATTTGCATCAACCATTGGAAGATCGAAATCATCAAGACTCTTACCCATAGACTGTAGAAAAACGAGGAAATCAATTAGAACCAGATTACGGACTCGATTAGCACTTTCACATTGTCGCGTATAATCTTCAGAGAGTGAATCATAGTGGTCATCCCATAACTTGCGAACATCTCCTGGCTTACAATAAATCAACATCGTGGCAAATAACCTCCTAAGAGCAGCCRRAAATTGAAATAAGGAGGCCTCTCCAAGACATTGGGATAAGTTATCATCGTTCTCTATTAAACCTCTCTCAAGAGATGCTTTGCGAAATGTAGGGTGCAGTAAGCCATTGAAACTGTATAGATCTTCAAAGCAAGTAGGCCCAGTAATATGAGACAAAAGTAGGCGTAGGTAGAACCGCTCCCCTTCAGCTGGATTTGCAGACACAAGTCGGCCTTTCATTGATCCTCTTTGTCGGGGATTCCATCGACGTGTGCTCCAATTCCACGTGTAGTGTTTTGGAAAGTCTTTGTTCAAATATTGTCTTGCACTCATGTCTGTTCTATTCCTATCAAAAAATGCAGTCAGCATCGTTCGCTTATCTCTCTCTCTCTATCGACAATATTTGTCATTATATCATCATCTCTAAACCTAACCATCTATTTGTTAGGTAGATGGAGTTGCAACGCCATCACGTAAGGGTGCATTTGAGAAAATGTGAAGCTAAAAATCCGCCATATCGCCTCGGGAGGGGAGACATAACGTGCATCTTGGAACCTTCTAATTTAGTTAATAACGACCCTTTCTTCCTCTGAATCGATATGAACAACCTGTTTGTTGTGACCCTTGTAAACATACTTGAAGACATACTTCATAGATATTATACTCGAGCAAGCCTCAACATTGATATGACAATTAAACATCATTAACAGCTTCGGGTTATACGGGACCACCCATCTATTATCCAGAATGTTGCCTCGTACATTCACATTAATTCCACTATTTCTTCGTCGATATAATGGATATGAGTCCTCATCTTGCATCATCTTGTCATTGAACTGTTTGGGATAATTGAAACGACATTTTTTCGGCTCACCTTGCATACAAGGACTGGACAGTCGTAAATGACCGCAAGGATCATGCATCGTGTGTTGCACGACCAGTTCGTGCATTTGGGGATACCTGGTTGGGTCCGAAATTTCAGCACAAACACTCTTGTCGTAATGATCTGGATTGGTCATTTTGTGTTCGGGTGTCATTATCAGAAGAAAATGGGCATGCGGCAAACCACGCTTTTGAAACTCGATGACATAAACATATGCCCCGACTTTACCGAGGATGTGCTTTTTGAAAAGTTGGTCTTTCATATCCTCTAGTTTCGAACGAAAAACTCTTGCAACAAGGTATGGCCGATCGGGTGCGGTCTGACCCGGCAACATCTCTCTAAGGATTTCAGGCCACTTCGGATTGGACGTCATTGTAAGAAATATATCGGGCTTCCCATCATCTTGCACTAAAGTCATGGCATCAAGAAATCATCGCGCATGTCACATGGTCCTCTGATGAAACTTGCAGGCAACACAACCCGTTGTCCAATTCTACTTCGCATCACCTCACCGACATTGACGCAATCCACAACACCTTGGTATAAATCTGCTCTTATTTTGGCTTGGTTTTTCTGACAAAAATCTAAACGGGAAGTCTCAATCTTGATATAGATATCTACCACGAACTGTTGTAACAACCTTCCCCCCAATAGAAGCACATTGTCGTTCTAACTAACCTCTAAATGCTTCATTGGTAAATTCATCAAAAAGAGGTAGAAGTATACCACGGTTACTTCGAATGCCTATGTAAGAAAGAGATCATAATTTAAATGAGATTTTAATTACTAAAATTGATAAAAGAATTAAAAAAAAGAAATGCACGGTTTTACCCTTGAAGTTTTCATGTGTCCAATCCGAACATATTGAAGTCGTTCCTTCTGTGCATGTAACACTTGTTCCTTCTGTGTTAACACTTGTTCAACATATGTTATTTTCTTTATTTCGATGATAATAATTTCTGTTAACAATTTTTCTCTTCTCAGCAATGGTCACTGCACTGACAGGAGTTGTTTCATTGATGTGCGACGTCTCCAACAGGGTCATAGATTGACTACTTTCTTCACTGTTAACTATTTTTCTCATTTTGTTCTTTTCCTTTTGTCGTTCATAATATCGTCTATTGTATTCCTTTCTTTTTTCTGCAACAATATCGTTTTATATAAATATATATACAATTAAGTGAATATATCACGATGATAATAATTAAAGTGAGTTTTCCATATACCTTTTGCTATATCTACATCAACTTGCGTTACATCATTATTTGCAATTTTGTCATCACTCATCCCCATTGGAAACTGTAAAATGATAAAAATAGGAAAAATATGGTTTGATCTGTGAAATAAAGTGTAAAGGTTGGAATTGGAATGAACAAAGTTAGGGTAAGAAATTTCAAGATTGAACAAAGTTTAGTAGATACACTTTTTCATCGAACATATCACTCATTCTTTATTGTGTATCTAATAATTTCCTTAGTCGTTTTAATTAATAATTCAAAATATATCATTAACAAACAATGAAGAGACAATGATTAAACTTATACCAACATAATAATACATATAAAAGATACATATAAGTTCACAAATTCAAAAAAAAAGACCAATAATACATGATAATGGTAAAACTAATCATATATGTTTATGTCATCAATGTTTTAACGGCATTTGCTTCTGGCATGTGTGGTTCGAACACGATTGTTGTTAACTCCGTAGAACTCAAAAAATTCTCTGAAAATAATTGAATATAARTTTTTAATAAAATAGAATATGTAACTAACAAAATAGAATATTTAAAAATAAAAGCAACTTCTTACGTACTTTGAGTTGCACGAGTAGGCAAATGAATGAGTTTAACTCGAGATGCATAGATTATAGAATTATCTACSATTGCACGAGTTATCTCCATAAAACTGAATCGTACAGAATCATACAACCTCATATTTATTATATTTCCCCTATTATGAGTAATAAAAATGTTAGTTACTATGATAATATACACACTTACGGTCCATCTTGGAGAAATATTTCAAAGCATCCAAATCGCAAATAACCATGAGTTCGGAAAGATCGTACTCGTCGACCCGAGATGATTTTTCCAACAAACATCTAAAACAAAAGTTATCGTATCTTAAAAATTAGATTTAGGTTATCAAACATGATTTTATTGTTTTAAAAATACRAAAGTATCAAAGAATTTAGATGTACCGATCACGAATTTGCGAGTACTCTGATCTTCTACAAGAGTTCTTATAGAAGACACCAACGGATGGAATGGAAGAACATTTTCAACATCCCACAACAACGGAATGAAGGTGGTGTTTCGGCAAATAAGGATGTAAAATTCAGTGAAGGTGAGCATATAATCTTCATTCCTCACATCACCATGGTTATATTCAATAGCGAAACGATTCAAAGAGAAAATGTTTCCAACCAAGTCCATTTGCTTGTATATTCGAATTAAAGGGTGATGATGAACAATTGCTACCATCTTTCTCCTCTAAAATATAATAAAATAAATGTTAAATATGTTTAAATTTCTTTTACCATGCAATTAAAATTGCGAATTTTTTAACTTACGGTTTGATCAATTAGAAAGATGAGTAGTCTTTCTCCCCTAACATCTTCCCAAACGAAATCCCCACGAACTTTTGTCAAGCTCCATCATGCATGTACTTCGTTTAACATTGAAAACTCATCAACAATATATGGGGTGTTCATTTCTACAAGTTTGTTACACTAATCAGAACCTATTTGAAAAATTATAATAATATGCATATGTTAAAAATAATAGGCAAATATTTATGTACTTAAGAAGGAATAAGAAAACATATATTATGTTATCTTCGAATCATGCAAACAACTTGTATCCTTTTTCAATCCAATCACCTCAGAATAAAGAGGCAGTTAAAGCTTTGTATGAGCATTGAGCCATAAATAAATAAATATATAAATAAATAAAATCCAAGAATAGGGCATATCACAATAAAGAAGCAACTGATATTCTATTATTTCAGGCTATGTGACCTGCATCATTCTTTCTTATAAGTGGGCTTGAAAGATTAGTAGTTCAAATTTTACCCATAGTTTATCTAAAGTGGAAAATTGGCACCCATGCAACACAAAAACTATGACAGCAACAATAYTGTTGGTTCTCAGTAGCTTTGATTACCACCAGCAAGTTCTATATAATGAACTAAAGCAATCATGCATATTCCATAGAGGAACTTGGGTCATCATTAGATTGGCCAACAACAAGTTCTATATAATGAATTAAAGCAATCATGCATATTCCAGAGAGGAACTTGGGTCTAGCTATTTGTGCATCAAAAGCCATATATAAGATGCATTTAGTAAAGACTTATCTAATCTATATGAYAGCACATTGATGTTTTCCATGTGAACAGGTTATATGACATTCTCAAGCCACCATGCCAACATCATATTTGGTTAGAMCAGCTTGCATATGACAGGTATATTGAATGAAACATGATCACTTGGTGAACAGCACACAGAATGGTGATTGCCTTATGGTCAGCTGTTGTTGCAATGCATACATACATACCCCTGTGTGAACATACATACCCATGTGCCTGCTGTTTATTGTGGCAAAACAGCAGGGGTATGTCAACAGCAGAAAAATCAAAAATAGTGGATGAGAAAGCCACCTGTGCACATGGTCTTGAAGAACAAGCAAGGTTCAAGGGAATTCAGACATATTTAAGAGTGATATGCTTCCAAATGGATATGATTGACGACAGTGTTATGACATTTAAAACTTTATTATTGTATTGCCCCTTTTTTTGCTCATAGATCACTGTGTACTAACCAACAGAAGCATGTTGGATTTTCCAACTTGTTTACATGTATGTGTGTGGGGGGGTTGTTTTTATCCCTTAACAACAAAACCATGAAGAAACAGATGTTGTTGACAGGTGACATTTTCAGTTGGTTCAGTAATTGAAAAGGTAAAATTTTCAGTTGTTTTCTAAACAAATCAAAATGGTAAGTGTTTCCCTTTCTGATGCATTAATCACCCAAGTATCTCTAGCTGCAAGATTTGTTTTAAATGGACTTACAGGGTTGATTTATGTATACACGACCAATATAACTATAGTTATCCCAAAACCAGTTTTAGTATAGCTTTGACATGCTAAAGGGCAGAAACACCAGTAGCAATGACATGCTAACATCCAACAGGCTTAAAAACAAGGATGAGTTGGAAGTATTGCAAAAAACTATAAAAGGTGGGACAAACACAAATGCAGCAGGCATAGGGGAATGGTACATAACAGAAATTGCATAATATGACTAAAAAATGTCCATGRACTTAAGAATYTGTTTATAATCAAGACTTGTTTGTGATCTGCAACATAATGTAACCATATAAACAAACAGTAGCAGTTCTCACCAACGCTAGGCATGTTCATGTGGTTCTAAACTTACACAAAAGCTTGAAAATGATATTTTAAGAGAACCTTTCATATTTTGTTTAATACATGAAARCAAGGATTCAGAAAGGAAAATATCAGAAAACAAATTTTTGATTTAAAACAGCAGGTACAGGGGATGCATAACCATTAAAAAAGGACTTAAGAATCTATTGCATAGAATCTGTAATATGTGCCTATTCTGCATATAAACAGATTCTATAATATGTGCCTATTCTATATAACCATTTAGGTCAATATCTTAATTATGGACTAAATGGTTATGCATCCCAGCAGGTACAGGGGTGTTATACATGAAAGCAAGGATTCAGAAAGCAAATTATCAGAAAGCAAAGTTTTGATTTAGAACAGGGCCACAAACATATAGAACAGGGCCACACACATATGTAACAGGGCCACAAACCAAGGCTGTTTGGTTGTTATTTTCTGCACAAGATGATGCAGTCCCAAATAGAATGAGTATATAGATACACACACATGTAACAGGGTTGTTTGCTTGTTATGTTCTACAAAAGATGATGCAGTCCCAAACAGAATACGTACCTTTGTAGAAGCTTCAGATACTTTGTATGAATCAGCAGTAATGGAGTGAAGCCACAAACCACGAAACAGATTTTGCACACATTTCACAACTTGAATGTTCAAAACTTAACTGCAGCATTTTGGTTCTATTTGAAGTACAATACACACACACACAATGAAAGCATAAATGAAAACAGGTTGCTGCTTATCTAAACACACACACATTTCACCTCTGGTTGTTTCTATTTGAAGTACAATACATACACACACATTTCACCTCTGGTTGTTGCTGTATCTAAGCACACACACACATATGGAGCAGTTTGCTGTTTTGAACAAGGCAAGTGTTTTAAAAATAATTAATGTTGCTACTGGTCTCTAAACACACACACATACACATCAAATAAGTATATACTAAAACAAACTCATATCTTAATTTAGAATTTAAGTGCACAATTAAATTTCACATCATATTTTGTTTCACCAGCTTGCAAATGAAAAGGTTATTGTGTTATTCATAACAGGGCTTTTGTTTTTTTCAATCCATCACTAAACACAACTAAATTTCAATCCATCACTAAACCCAAATCTACCATTCCAACAGATTTAAAGAACAAACAAACCAAATTTAAAGAAAAATCATGTCAAAATCTGATTCAATCCCATGGGCAAAAAAAT